ATTTCATGCTAATTGAACGAGCTCAATCTTGAAGTCAGCCGTGTCCCAGTGGAATCGAGCGCAGAAACCGAAAGCATCACACCTCAACAGTTCTTGATCGAATCCCAAATCAGCTACAATAAAAAAAGACACAACTGTGAAAGCTCCCACTGCCTGATGTTTATTTTTCGATTTATTTTTAGAAATCGATTAAATATATGTGTCAAAAGAAGAAGTAAATTTCATGTGATTTTCACATAAACTTTACTTCGATTGATTATATTGTGGAGAAACGTAAAGCTTATGCTTATGGGTTTCAAATCCATTTCAGTTAATTATTATAATCTGACTGATTTTCATTTATCATATGACGATCATATAAAAGTTACCAAATTATCAGCATTGTAAATGTATCAGATATTCATATAGAATTTACCTGACACATTTTCAATCATATCATTTTCAATGGATTATCTTATAGCGCAAATTTATTAGATTCCCACATAACAGGAATATGTCAAATTGGTTCAGTGTAGAGAGAAATCTGACAAAATTACACTGATCCAAAAAAGGACATTTATCGTGGCTGCTATCTACATGGCATTTTAGGCTCTGAACCATTTGGTGGATTATTTTAACTTTTGGTTAAAATTTGACAGATGAAAAGTTATCGATTAACCCTGTTATCCGAGCGTGGTTACTTCTGACAGACAAGAAGTAAAATTTTGACGACCGTGGCTCGAAAACCGGTCGATCGACAGCACGGGGATTTTCGAACATAAGAAATAACTTTCGAAATGTCACTTTTAACCACGAGTTAAATTTAACTCGGCAAATGGTTCACAGCCTTAGATGTGTCGCCCCCCTCGATTAGATGCGAGAAATGAAAGAAGATTTTTCGAAAATTGATTCGCTAGTGTGAGATTTGTTGAGCATCTAGACTTAAGGTTTTTTATTCTGGCAACACACCTGAAAAATAATAAAAAAAGTGTGAAATGTCGAACGATGGGTCGGATCAGCTTATCAACTCGCAGATTAATTCTGCACAAATGGTTTCCCGAAAAGTTGTCGTTTCGAGAATTGGCAAAAAGCGTGAAGTGCAGTAAATCAAATTTGTTGGTTAATGCTGGGTAATGCGCAATACAGATCCCATTGAGATCACTAGCCTCTACCCAGCAACTCCTATCCCTATCTCCCCGTGGTACCAGCCGGGAACTGTGAGCAACCTTAGGGAAGATCGGGTAATAAACCCCGGTGGGAACTTTGGTCAAAGGCTGACAGGGAAGGGGGGCGGGGGGTTTGCTTCGGCAAGCCTGAGCGTCTGTTCTCCAGGAGGAGCGGCTCACAACAGCGTCTGTTCCCCATATTATGCTGATCTACGTCCGAGTGCCAGTGAAGGACTCTAAGCACAACTGTGCACCCTGGTCCTCCGGAAAATTAGGGGTTGGTGTCAGGCCCTGCGAGCCAGCCGTAAAAAAGCATTGCAACGGAAAATCAGCAACAGAGAAATACGAACAGAGACCAACGGCAACGACCCCAGCGACGAAATAAGACTTGCGATTGGAAACTCGGCACGTGGAACTGTCGATCCCTCAATTTCATCAGCACCCGAATACTCGCCAATCTACTGAAGGACCGCGGATTCGGCATCGTAGCGCTGCAGGAGGTGTGTTGGACAGGATCCATGGTGCGAACGTTCAGAGGTAATCATACCATCTACCAGAGTTGCGGCAACACACGCGAGCTGGGCACAGCTTTCATCGTGATGGGCGCGTGATCGGTTGGTGGCCGATCGACGAAGGAATGTGCAGGTTGAGGATCAAGGGCCGATTCTTCAACTTTAGCATAATCAACGTGCACAGCCCTCACTCCGGAAGCACTGATGATGACAAGGACGCACCACTACCTGGTGATGGTCAAACTGCGCCCAAAACTTTCCGTCATCAACAATGTACGGTACCGACGCCCGCCACGGTACAACCATAGAGGTAACTCTAAGACTAGAAGGTCCCGAAATAACGTGCTCAACTTTTTGGCTCAGCTCTGGTACTCTCTTCGGTCCCAAGCTAATCGATTCACCCCTCGAAACATAAGAAAAACCAATAACCCCTCATTTTATCTGTCAAACTTTCATAGCTAATCAAAACAAAAATTGCGTAGTACTAGAATTTCGACTAGAATGGGATACGTTAATCGTTTGCTTGGGACCAATAGGCTAGTCAAGTAGTGAGCCAATTTAAAATCGTTAGTTTCGTATTGATTGTTGGTACAACCTAGCGCGACTGAAGCAACCGGATGTCGCCTTAGCATACGCGCAGAATCTCGAAGCAGCGTTGCCAGAGGAGGGCGAGCTTGATGTGCCCCCTCTAGAGGACTGCTGGAGTACAGTAAAAGCAGCCATCACCGACGCAGCCGAGAGCACCATCGGGTACGTGGAAAGAAGTCGACGGAATGAATGGTTCAACGAGGAGTGCAGAGCGATTTTGGAGGAGAAGAACGCAGCGCGGGCGGTAATGCTGCAGCATGGAACCCGACAGAACGTGGAACGGTATAAACAGAAGCGGAAACAGCAGACCCGCATCTTTCGGGAGAAAAAAACGCCGCCTGGAAGAAGCGGAGTGCGAGGAAATGGAACTGCTGTGCCGTTCCCAAGAAACACGGAAGTTCTACCAGAAGCTCAACGCATCCCGCAACGGCTTCGTGCCGCGAGCCGAAATGTGCAAGGATAAGGACTGGAGCCTTTTGACGGACGGACGTGAGGTGATTGAAAGGTAGAAGCAGCACTTCGATGCGCACCTGAATGGCGAGGAGAACGTAGGCACGGGAGACCAGCGCAATGGAGGAAACGACTACGTCAGTGCAGCAGAGGACGGAACTGACCCAACTCCCACGCTGAGGGAAGTTAAGGATGCCATTCAGCAGCTCAAAAACAACAAAGCAGCTGGTAGGGATGGTATCGCAACCGAACTCATCAAGATGGGCCCAGAAAAGTTGGCCACCTGCCTGCACCGGATGATAGTCAGGATCTGGGAAACAGAACAGCTACCGGAGGAGTGGAAGGAGGGGGTAATCTGCCCCATTCACAAGAAAGGCGACCATTTGGAATTTGAGAACTTCAGAGCGATCACCATTTTGAATGCCGCCTACAAAGTGCTATCCCAGATCATCTTCCGTCGTCTATCACCTCAAATGACCGAGTTCGTGGGAAGTAATCAAGCCGGCTTCATTGACCGCCGATCGACAACGGACCAAATCTTCACCGTACGGCAAATCCTCCAGAAATGCCGTGAATACCAGGTCCCAACGCATCATTTGTTCATCGACTTTAAGGCGGCATACGACAGTATCGACCGCACAGAGCTATGGAAAATCACGGACGAGAACGGCCTTCCTGTGAAGCTGATCAGACTGATCAAAGCAACGATGGACGGTGTGCAAAACTGCGTAAGGGTTTCGGGTGAACTATCCAGTTCATTCGAATCTCGCAGGGGACTGTGACAAGGTGACGGACATCTCATTTTCACGAGATCCGGTCAATTTGTGTGCTTTGCGGACGACATGGATATTATCGCAAGAACATTTGGAACGGTGGCAGAACTATAAACCCGCCTGGAACACGAAGCAGCAAAGGTCGGACTGGTGGTGATAAATAAATAAAATAAAAATTTTGCGTCAGCGGCGCCGGTGGTGTAGTGGTAAGCGTGATTACCTCTCACCCCAGAAGGCCTGGGTTCAATCCCAGTCGGCACCGCCGGGATGTTCTGAGGCATAACATCTCTGATCACGCCTTCCTTCGGATGGGAAGTAAAGCCGTTGGTCCCCGGTTCATGAGTTGATGGGTCGATAGGTAGGATCCAGGTGTGGGAGTTGCCTTCCTGGCGTCGGTAGCATTGGTGCTCAGCACGGAAAACAAGATCGACGGAAAACAAATCAAAGGAAAAAAAAAAAAAAAATTGCGATATTTTATCCAATTTGTTTTTACAAAACATAGATGCATTCTATGCATTGCACGTTTATTTTCAAAATTATCCCTCTAAAGTGTATAATGAGAGAACTTTGAACGCCGTTTTCACATTTCCAGTTGTTTACAGATGGGACTGACTAGCGGTTATGGGCAGAGATATCTTCATTAAAGTTGAATAGGAGGACAAGGGCTGTTGGCTGGTGCATATATTAGTTTGGAATTCTCCCGCTAGGTGGTGCTAGTGAGCATGCAAATCCAGAGCGGTTTGAGATTTGGGCGTAATGCATTTGTAAACAAACGCGTCAATCGCCGATTTCTTGCGAATAGAAGTTCAATCTCTAAAACTATTAAAACTATGAGATAGAGGAATGATTTCTCTATCATTTGGTATTATAGTCTGTTTACGAGATTGAGCTTGGCCATTCACGTGTTTGTTTACGGAAGCAATTTCGCCTGAGTCTCAAATCATTGCGGAAATATTCTGTACTACTGTTGTATCTCATGATCATGATTTAGCCGACTGATGTCTTCATTAAAGTTGAATAAGATGACAAGGTCTGCTGGATGGTGAACTTATCAGTTTGGAATTGTATCACTAGGCGGCGCTAATGTGCTTGCAAATGTTCTCTACAGTCTATTTTATATCTCTAGATACTGATTATTTAGAAGGGTGATGTCTTCTGCAAAGTTTATCAGGAAGACAAGGACTGCCTTGTGGTTGTCAGATTAGTTCAAAATTCTCCCACTAGGCGTTGCTAGTGAGCATGCAAATAGTCTGTACTGTCTATTCTGTATCTCCAGGTCCTGATTCATTAGAAGGGTGATGTTTTCAGCGAACTAGATCAGGAAGACACGAACTGCCTAGTGGTTGATCAAATGTTTTTTCAAAAAGTTGGTATTTTACGATTATTGTAAATTTTATTATTTTGTGGAAAATAGCCCTTGGTTGTGGTTAATTCTTGACAACTGACTTGTGATAAGAGTCGAAAAAAAAGCTGCAGGGAAACAGTCTTGATAAGGAACTTTCGGAACAATCAAGAAAGGTACATATGCACTGTTTTGGGAAGAGTAACCGAACTTTGCGTTATATTGTATTACTCTTTCTTTCTCCTTCACTCATCGCTTTACCGTATCTATTTAATTCAAATATCCTATCATCACCGCTTTTTGTTGTTGTTGTGAAAGTTTTTGCATATCTATAACATAGGTATATGTTGCAAGTTGTGTGCTGCCGCTATACGCAAAACTGTCGCATGTTCTATGGAATTTCCTACGGACATGGGACAGCTGTTATGCGAATAGCTGCAGTGTCTGTGTGTGGGTGTGTGTGTTTATGTATGTGTGTAGTAGCTATACGTACATGGGTATCCATCATGGCGCCGGCTGATCGAGGAAGTTTTTCTCCCTACACTGTTCCGAGTTTTCATTAAAAATATCCTACTTATCTAATACCTACGGGTTGTTTCCTTACTCACTTCCATCAGTTTCTTTGTTATTTTTTTGTCCCAAAGAATCCCATTTCTGGAGAGCCAGGGATAAACAATTTGGATCACATTTTCCATTTTAGCGTGTTGCCTTCTTCACTTGTTCGATATTTTTGAAACAACGAAAATCCAAGATGCTTCTCAGTTCCATTCACATTGTCCTGTTCAGATTTGTGTGACTTGAGTGTTGTTGTGTTGTGGTGTGTCTGTTTGGTTACGATTAAACAATAAATAACATTTAATAAAACAAACAACATGAACCTATCAGATTTATCGTACATTTAAGGGTAGGCTGTGTAAGTGGTAAGCATTTGTATTTTCGAGGGTGCATAATGATGAAACATATATGGATGGTAGTGGCTTGTTCTGTCTTTCTAACACTCTTTCGGTGTATTTAATAGGAACGTTTATTTTGTGTGTGTGTTCTGTCGGTTTGTTTTTCTTTCTTCTGGCTGATCTGCATTATTACTAAGAGCAAGAGGTTTTACAATTTCATAAATCTGATATCTACTATTCGAATAATAATAATCCTGTATCGGTTGTTTGCTTGATTTCTATACCATTAAGTCTATTGCGAATGGTGGCTATTACACTACACTATCTTGCATTTGATGGGTTTTCTCTTTGTCTATTATAATAGTATGAGTATGCTAAGTTAGATAATATTCTCGTTTTACATCCCGTAAGGTGAATACCGAGCTGTGTAGTACAATGTTTTATGTGTTGGCGTGATATTTATTATTCGTAGGAGGTAAAATCTAACTGAAATTCAATTTTATAACAAAAAGTTTCCCGATAGTGCGGTACAAAAAGGCTTCTCTGTAACCAATTCTCTTGTCGATTCTTCCATCGCATTACGGATGGAAATCTTACCTGCTACTTTGCTGCTGCTTCCTTCGGTAGTCATAAAATTGCAACCTCCGTTGAGGTTGTCTCAATACAGCTTCCAGCATTGCGACGTCTTCTGCTCGCCGCCGCAGTAAAGGAACATCGAAGTTGGTCTGTCTAGGTTTAAGGCATATTCTTTGGACTTTTTGGCTATCTCTTTGTCGAAGATCTGCGGGGATCAATTTTAATATTATTGTTTAGCGATTATTCCAAACACGCAATAATCAAACCAAGGATACTTACATCATTTTCATTAATTTCCAACACGGACGCCAGGTCCCACTCGGTGGAAGGGAACGGATTGGAGATGAATTTGGCAGCTGTCGCCACCGAAGGCAACACATGGGACTGCAGGGCCGCCACTTCCCACAGGGAACTATCCAGGGCATTGGATTTGATCGGATCCCGTTCGTCCATGACGTAGGGATCTTGGGAGACTGTAATACGAGAGCGAAAGAAAGCAAATATTGATAAAACGGGCATCCAGCAAGAGTGCAACGGGAAACTTACTTTCACCTCCCGTGGGATGGAAAATCAGCCTCTTCAGGGCTGGATGCCGAAGGAACAGATTGCCGATGAAACGCAGTATGATGACAATATCCTGCGGCGGAGCAATCAGGGCTAGACGAGCGAGCCGTTTCACGAAAGCCGCCACCAGACCCTCCGGAAGGTGACTAGAGCTGAGGAAGATATCCGCCAGATAGAACAGTCGAGCTTTGAACTTGGTATGGAAGATTTCCGGCTCGAACATCGAGTACAGCTTCTCGTAGATGTTCGGATAGGTGAGATTATACTGCTGAATCAGCACGAAGATGCCCTGCAGGGCAAGAAGACTTATGGCACCGCCGACGTCTAGGGAATCCATTAGAAAATCTGTCAGCAAAACCGGCTTGTCCAAATGCGAGAGGACTTTCTCCAGCAGAAGAATCAACAACTGCCTGTGGCTCGTTTCGTCGTGCTTCCAGTTCATCACGCAAGACCACGTTTTGTTGATGTGCTTACGAATGTACGGATAATCCAACTGCATCTGTATGCAGAGGAAGCTTGGTGATTCCTCGACGGCTTCTTTTCCGAAACAAATAGCTCCTACCAAGCTGAGAAAATTCTGAATGAAAACCGCGCTGGGGCAGAATTCCTTTGGCGCTATCGAGGGCAGAATCTTCCAGCAGAAATAGATCACATCCAGATGGGCCGAATATTCCAGGAAGCGGTTGACCAGGTGTGTATTGAGCCGTTCCGATGACAACATCGCTTGCAGAACCTGTCTCAGCTTGGTCAACGGAAAGTGCACCGACCCGGAACCGGCTTCCAGTGGATTCTCCGTTTCGGTAACGATAAGCTTCATGGCCGTGGCCAGCGCTTGGGTACTCTCGGCGGATTTTTCGTGGGCAAACGACTCCAATATGGCACTGAACGTTTCTTTGTACTGAGCTTGCATCCATTGTTTGTGGGACGATCCGGACGACTCTTCTGCAAATTGATGAATATTTTTCAGTTCTCCTACGCAGTAAAGAAAAAGTGACTAAGCTCTCCACTTACCAACTGGTTTCAATGGTTGAACAACGATTTGCATTTCATTGCGTCTCAGCAGCTCGCAGAAAATGGTCTCCAGCAACAGCAAACTGGGTATGACGGCACTTTTCCGTGCATTACCCTCCTGGAAGACAAAAATAACTTATGTCCAGAAAAATTCCAACAACTTCCCCGAAGCAACAATAGTTAAACGAAGAAAAAAATACTCGTGAAAAATTTTCGCACCCCATTTTGCATCATGGAGAAACTGATGCTTCTTTTGTGTGGCACAGGCAAATAATGTGCGGATTTCATCAACCCTCTGCCTACCTTTAAAAAAGTGATGATTTCCAGCAGATTGTTGGAAGCGCTCTCCGGGGAAGCCAGGAACTCGCTGGCTTTGGATTTCAGCTGCTTGGAGAGCGTTTTATTCGTCGATGGTTGGGGTTGGAAATTTGCAGGAGACGACATCTTTGATAACTACTTTTTATGCACAGTATTTTTTCCTCTGATGTGTAAAACACGCACCACCGCTAGCTCAAGCTTTTCGTCGTGGTTGCTGTTCGCTGCTGCTTCGCCACACCAAAACTGACGGAACGAAAATATTTTTGACGTCGAAAAAAGGCAAACAGTGAGTGCTAGGGGTCGCTCGATGCGACATGTAAGGTTGATTCACTGCCCGAAGGTTGTCTACGATTAGAGTTTCTGAAGGGGTTCTCTGCACTCAAAGATAAATTAAATCGAAAAAGCTTAAAAAGTATGCAGATTCGCCCGGAAAAAAAATACAATGAAATTTTCAGTGGAAACAATGCTACATTAATATTTATTGTCGACAATAAGAATGATTGTTATAATGTTGTACTCTTCCGGAAACGGCAAAACTGCTACCTAGATGTACAATGAATGTACATAGTAAAATGTTGTTACAATGATTTTTATCGTATTTTTCATTTATTTTATTGTTAACATGATTCGATCATGAACAATAATGAACAACTCTATTACAATAAAAATTGTTGTTACATTAAATATTGGTGTGTTTTCATTGTGCTCATTGTCCGCTCATCTCTTATCCTAGAACCTCTCTAAAACTGGGTTAAGATGGTTCAATTCAGCGTTCAACTCACTTGAACTGCGAAATGAACTTCCAGAAATCTGACCGATATCGGACTTGCTCTATTCGTTGCCAAGTCAATTGAACGCCTACGACCAGATCGGTTTGAGTTGAATTCAACTCGCCTGCCTCATCTAAATCCCGCTTAATGCAGACCTTTTTCGTGCAGTCAATAATCATACAATATAATAATAAAAAATTCCAGCACTTGAAGATGTCAGGAAGGAACTCTTAGGTGGAAGCATATTTCATGGGCGATTCTCTCCAGTAGAATGCATTAACTTATCAACGACGCTCAACCACCAAGGAGACGTGACCTAGAGAGATCGAGTGCAGGGGAGTTGGCCTCCATTTCTCACAAGTTCCAGATCGAATCTCAATCCACAACCAGTAAAAAAAGGACTCACCCGTAACAGACATACCACCAACAATCAATACGAAAGTAACGATTTTAAATTGGCTCACTACTTGACTAGCCTATTGGTCCCAAGCAAACGATAAACGTACCCCATTCTAGTCGAAATTCTAGTACTACTCAATGTTTGTTTTGATTCGCTTTGAAAGTTTGACAGATAAAATGAGGGGTTATTGGTTTTTCCTATGTTTCGATGGGTGAATCGATTAGCTTGGGACCGAAGAAAGTACCAGAGCTGAGCCAAAAAGTTGAGCACATTATTTTGGGACCTTCTAGTCTTAGAGTTACCTCTATGATACCACCCCCTTCCCTTCCCGGGGCGATGTTTTATTTTTCGATTTATTTTTAAATTCGATAAAGTAGATCTGTCAAGCCAACACTCTAAAGTACACTGTTATTTTTTTTTAATCAATAAATTCGCCAACCACCACTAAAATAACAATAACACACAAAAAATAATCGTTGCTAAAATTAAAAAAATCCGTTGGTAGAATTAAAAGTTTGCGTTGGTTCTTTTTGGTAGAAAGCGGTTAGCTTTCAAACCAAAAGTCAGCAAGCTGTCAAATCAAAAGTACTCACCTCACTACTTTTAAAAGTTTAAACTTTCAAAATGAATTGTACTACTGTCAAATGAAAAGCATGACAGTGTTGAAATAAAAGTGGATTATTGTTGTTTCGAAACAAGCTTTTGTCAAGAAACTTTGGTATAGTTAAAATGAAATGAGCTGATTTTAATTTAAAAAAAAATTTTAGATCCAAATAAAATCATTTTCAACGTAACAATATTATTTTTATTTTTATTGGAACATAGCGAAAGGTTTCCGTTCGGCTTCCACATTACGTTTAGCTATAGGCATACCGAGAGGCATACCCGGGCTGTTTGCGTGTTAAAACAGCTCCGTCCTTTGATCTGGACACTGAAGACGCGACCGCGGATGCGATTTTCATCTCGTCTATTGGGATAATTTCACCTGGAGGAACAACATCGTTTAGCTATTTGGTACGGGATTCGCTAGTCATAAATACTAACCTTTCATAGCTGATTTAATACTCGATTTTGTTGATGCCTTCGCGGTTTTACATTTTCTCTGTCATTCAAATGGCTTGCTTAACTCCGATGGTGGCTAGAAGTAGCATAGGGAGAAAACAAATTCCGTTGCGGTGTAGTCATCCGAACCACCAAATAGCAGCTATGCGGACTATGTAGATCGCGATCCTGGCCGGAGAACTCCCTTCAACCTGACGACTGACTCGACATTTAGATAAGAGATCCGGATTAACGTTTGGCGAATGGAATTTATGGAAGAGGTATCATAACCTGAAATCGGGTAGAACAAGAATATAATAAAATTTATTGATTTGGATAACAAACATCTCATTAAAATGTTACTTACCTATGCCTAAATGTAAACAGGAACAATAACAATTTGTATTGTATTGAAACATGACCAACATTGGAAATGGTAACAAAAATGCGAGATTTTTGGGGTTTATTATTTAATTTCCACTAGCGGTCAGATTGGCATAAAAACTGCAAATGAGCCGGCTCAGTTCAGTGCTGCCAGTAAGCCGCTACGAAGAGGTATTTTTGACAGTTTAACAACTTTTCTTTTAAAAAGCGTACTTTTAACATTAACAAGTTGAAGCAAAAAGAAACACTTTTAAGTCATTACTTTGGTTTTTAATATTTTCGTAGTTAAAATTACGAATTTTGGGAAACTTTCAATTTAAGAATGCATTATTTTTATTAAAACAATATTTGTTCTTTGTGTGTAGGCGAGCTACAAGTTACGCCAAATCGACGACCAAATGCATTGTTTAAAAAGCTGATACGTCCCTTTGAAAAAGTAATCATGAATTGGGTTCTTTAAGGGTTTTGAGGTAAATGCATATTCGTAATCTGCATTAGAAATGGAATCCAAACCCAAATTTCATCTATTTTGGTACACTGGAACTATTTAAAATCAGAATGATTACATTTGCAAAAATCAACTTATTAGCGCCCCTCGGTGTCACTTTGTATGGGAGCGAGCTGTCAGTTTGTCAGTTTAGTGTCAAAAAGTGATGTTATTATTTTGCTTTAAATATTGATTTAAAAATCGAGATGAAAGTGTGTGGGTTCGAAAAAAATATCGCTGTGCTCAGAAAACGAAGCTCTTTCAGATGATGTATAAAAACCGATATATTTTTCAAAATTAAAGAACCCAATTGGCAATCAAATCTCGATTATCGCGCTAAAGGGTGATGGCAAGGGGAGGGGGGAGGGGGTTATGATTTTGTAAGCAATGCATTAGGTATAGGAAAAAGTTAACGTAAGGGGGGAGGGGGTTAATTTTTCCTCAATTTAGCGTGACATAACGCTTAGATTTGGGTGCATCGAGGGTTGCATAATGTGGCCCCTATTTTTTTTTGTTAGATTTTTGTTTTTTTATTATATAAATTCGATTTCCATTAACTAAAATCCGAGGGGCAATTCACTGCTATCGAGAATGAATCGAAAATACGTTAATGAAAAAAATACACCAAAATTCATCATTACTCGTCATTACTCAAAAAAATGCAAAAAAATACAAAATTCGGAAAAAAATACAAAAATATTCGACGAATAATAAAAATATACGATAATTCGTCATTTGCACGAAAAAATCGAAAATATGTACAATCAAAATGCTGAATTCGAACAAAATGCGTAAATTTATTATTTTGTATTTTAATCCGAGCTCGAATCACAAAACAATGCATTAATGAGTAGAATTTCGCCCATTTTAAGAAAAGTGCCTTAAATTATTTATTTAAAAAAAAACATTTTGAGTAGTTGCGTAACAGATGCTTATTAATGCGTAATGAGCGAGGTAAGGGGCTGTTCATAAACTACGTAGACAATTTAGGGGGGGGGGGATAGCAATTATCCGTGGCCCATACAAATTTTAAAAATTTTGTCTGGGCAATTGTCTACGCAGGGTTATAAGGGGGGATGGGAAACCCAAAAAACTGTCTACGTAGTTAATGAACAGTTTCTAATGAGTTAATGAGCTAAGCCTGTTTTCTTTAAAATGGGTGAAATTCTACTCATCAGTGGGTATTTTAAAGTTAGCGTGTGTTGTGCATTTGTCAAACAAAACGTCAACATTGTGAGTTTGATCCGTTTGATCCTCGGTTCGAGTGGTAAACATAAACACTGAAATGACAGAATACACTTATAACTGATTTTCAATACATTAATGCATAAAAATACACTTTTATTTTTCTAATACAAATAAAATACATATATTAAAAAAATACAAAAAAATACATTATTACACAAAATACACGTTTATTCGATAAAAAATACTTCAATACGTTCATTAATACGTTGGCCTGAATCGAAAATACACAAGTGAATCGCCCCTCGCTAAAATCATAAAATTTACATAGAATAATAAAGAATATGATTATTCCAGAGTTCAAATATTAATGGAATTACTAAAATTACTGTTTTTAATCTTTAAAATTATCAAATTATTTTCCAAGCAGTAGGCATTACTGAAATTACCCATGAATTACCAACAATTATTTTTATTACATTGATATTACTGAGTAATTCAAAATTAACTAATTATTTTAATAATTTGTGGTAATTTTGGATTACCGATCACCTCCCGCATAAACGCGAACCATCACATGACCTTACCGATAATGGTTATAAATTGTTTATAATCCCTGCTAAACTTCAACTGAAATGGTTATGGAACCTTACATGAACGTTTGTGTGATAAAGTTTTAACCTTATGTGTTATGGTTTTTTGGAAGCGGACCTTACAAATAATGGGTTGTTAAGAACCATTACCATTCCAAATTCTTGTTTTCTCCATACATTTTCGGAAAGAGAACTATATTAGAACGTTTTTACTTATGGTTTGAGAACATTAATGGTTATGGTTATGGTAGTCAGTAAGGTCCATTAATGGTTTTGTATTATCACTCAACTTTACGTGAAATATATCGTGAATTGGTAATCAGTAATTTACAGGCAACCAATTCGCGATATATTCCACATAAAGTTGATCGATGTTACAAAACCATTCATGGACCTTACTGGTTACCATAACCATTACCATTAATGTTCTTAAACCATAAGTTAAAAGGTTTTAGTAAAGTTTTCTTTCCGAAAATGTATGGAGAAAACAAGAATTTGGAATGGTAATGGTTCTTAACAACCCATTATTTGTAAGGTCCACTTCCAAAAAACTATAATACTTAAGGTTAAAACTTTATCATTAAACGTTCATGTAAAGTTCCATAACCATTTCAGTTGAAGTTTAGCAGGGATTATAAACAATTTATAACCATTATCGGTAAGGTCAATTTATGGTTTGCGCTTATGCGGGCTTACAAGCTTGGTAGAAACCCCTCGCATAAATGTCATTGCGCCTCATCGGCTACAGCAGCCCTTCAGTATTGTCAATATTGTATGCAAGTTTTTTGTTTTAATATTTTTTGTTAACATCTGTCAGTTGGGGATTTGAAAACAATAATAATAATAATAATAATAGAGCTCGAGAGCATGGCTCTGTAGTATGGTGCACTTTAAATTCTTCCAATGAATCAAATTTGGTTAATAAAACGTAAATGAGTGAAAGTTTAAAGACGCCAATATATGAATAAAAACGATGGATTTTATCCCCATTCAAACCAAAGCCGTATTGCTGCGGAAACGGACGCAGGATGAAGAATTCAAGGTAACCATTTTCGAACCCAAGAAAGCGAGAGCAAATAAACCGAAAATCGCCAAGCCGACCCCGGTGGAACCGGCCGAGGGTGACGGAAACCCGGACGCCGAGGAGGACGACATTGACGATATTTTCTCGGATGCCCGGAGGCGTAAGCGGAAAGCGCGAAAGGATGATCCAAAGGTGTTCGACATCAGCAGTGCCAGGAAGGAGGTGATCAATTTCGGCATATCGGGATTCGATAGTAATACGAAGCATGAAGCCAAAGTGGCCTTGGCGATCAAGTTGGGAGCAAAACCGCCCAAGAATAAGTACCGCAATTATAAGGAGATTCTGGAGGAGCGAAAGCGGGACAAACAGGAAAATGATAGAACTAGTCGGCGCAAGAAGGGCCAGAGCTTCGGGGCGGCAAGGTCCTACCAGCAGCAGAAGCAGAGGGTACGGGAGAAGGCAAGCAATCCCAATAGCGTAGCCAGGCACTACGGAGTGGTGAATCCGAAGATGGATGATAAGAAGAAGAGGAAGGGCAAATAAATGGAGGTTGAATTATGTTGGCTGTGATATCTATTAATTGTGAGAAATGATCTGTTGGTTTGGTAAAATAATTTACTCTTTATTCCAAATTGGTTGCTTTAAACTTGTTTCAATATTTGTGGTATCCTCTTTATCGTCTTCTGTTTTGAACCATTCTAGGTTTTGTTTTACCAAATCAGTAAGTACGTTTCGCTTTCCAGCTGCATAAGATTGGTTACCTTACTAAACTATCACTTTTTTAAGGGGCGCTTCTCGTCTTCGAGATCTTTGATCTGCCAGCGATAGAGCCTCAAAACTAGCTCAATTTGGATGTTCACAGCGAATCTCTGTTTCAGTTGTCGATTATGTAATCTCAAAAAAGAGTTGCCTTCGATTTCTGGCTTCTAGTGCCTACTAAACTGCAATCAAGTACAAAATTGGGGCAAAATAAATAAAAAAAATAAGCAGCTAAACTAATTTTCAGACGATCCGCCGGTACGGAATGATAGCTCCATAGTGTACCGATCGAACCATATGCTCACTTTACAAACAAACGACACAAGTTTATCATGTTGATATTATGTAGTAAAAAAATAAAATAAAATCCTATATACAACAGTAAGATCTCTTTTCCTGTAAAGCTCAACAGTTCACAACTAACACTTTGGGCCCCTCAGTGAGAGCGAGCGTGGGTGTTCATGGTTTCCCTTTAAATTCACTCATCAGTTACCCTACTAGTAGAGATGATTAAAATTCCTCAAGCGATGCCAAACAAGTGTGACTTGTTTGTGTCTGATTTGCCAACAATTTCGGTCTCGCCAACTCCTGCACCAAGCTGGCGAGGCAATGGTCGTTCCCCAAAAATAATGTTGTGGCCTTTACCTGCCACCCTTTAATGACTATAAAAAAAAATACAGGCAAAACCACAGCTAAAATATTTAACTATACAAGAACATTCGGGGAACGACCATTCGGGAATGATCCGTGCAGCTTCACTTTTTGAGTATTTCCATGGATATTTTTATTTTTTTTTACGTTTGAATCATTGCATTTACTAATTGAAAATGTCTTAAAGTTAGGCATTTATGAATCTTTCTCGCTGAAACCGTTTCACTACTGAAGATGTGGTTTTTGAACTTTAAAGTATTTTATTTTTTTACGTAAATTGTTTGCCCTGTGGGCTATGAAGTTGTTTTTGAAATCTTCTGAGAGTTCTCTGGACCTCTCTTTAGGAGTGAAATGAAATTTCTCTGTATAAATTGAAGCCACTGCATCTTGCATTCCACATGAAGTCCTAAGAACATTCTGAATTAAAATTTGAATATAGAATTACGTTGAGAGGGTGTTTTATGTATCCGTCAATTCTTTCACCTATTACCGTCAAGGGGTAACTTTAGTCATTGAGCGCTCAATTTGAAACATGATGCATCCTCTCGCAAGAACCCAGCGCTCAAGGACTTTCATTAAGCCCCTGACGATAATAGGTGCTGGTATTGACGAAGCCGGTATTTTCCGAACAACCTACAATATTATCTCTTTCTAATGTATCAGACTTGTGAAATTCCTGGAATAGTTTTCGTTTGACACCGATATGTGAGGATAACGCTTTATGATTCTTTTTGTTCGCTGATGGTGTTCGAAAAAGAAGGTCAGGATTGTTAGAGCCAAGCCAACTCAAATTCAGTATAACTTCTCTTGTATGGATTTGTACAATACTGCAATGACGAAATCTCAACACCGATTAAGGTGCGAGGAGTTCAACAATTTGAAAAACCTAATTCAGTTGTTCTACCTTTTTTTCATAGTCCCGAAAGTCCACGGTTTCAAACGAGAATGGCCATACAATTAAAGCAGTATGTGAGTGAGATGCTAATCAAATCCAAATCGATTATTCCAATCATCGTCCAAATTCAGTTATCTTTTCGTTCCATAATATCACACTTGTTTTTCTGAGTAAAAACATTAACCACTCTCACCGGTTAAGGGGCGAGATAAACTTTCCGTCGCTAAATAGTATACAGACCATAGAAGATATTAAACAGCTGACTACTGCTGCACAGCAGAATGCGTTCCATCCTCGCTAATCTTCCCAGAAAGTAAGAAAGAAAGAAATCTGCCTAAACGAAGATGTTAACTTTTCCCTTAAAGAAATTCTGATTGATTGATTGGTCTTTCCTCCGATTTGCGGGTTCGTTTCCCTTACAAAAATAGTCTTTTGTTTTTTTTTGCATGCACAGTGCACGCGCGCGTTTGTAGATAGATGGCGTCCAATATCTCTCTCTGCATTTTCTGAACCGTTTGTTTCTTCTCCTGTATACGTATATGTTTCCAAAAAATTAAACAAAAATGAAAATATTTCATTCTGTTTTCAGGTTTGGTTTGGTTGTTGTTTGGTTTTCATCTTTTGTTTTTGAGCAGTGTTTGTGTCTTTACTGTTGCTTGTTTTGTTGTTTCAGTGTTTCACGTGGTTTGGATGTTAGGATGTGATCATGGACAAAAAACGATTACGTAATTCGATGTTCTTGCTTGCACTGTTCCGCGACTCCCTTCCGGATGGTTCCGCAAACTTTGCGCTTTTCTGCTGATTGGCACATTCTTCGGGGCTGACCCTAGTTTACAATGTTATTGCTATTCAAATTTATGTGCACTTTAAGTGTACCGCCAGCCATGGGGCTTGGCTTGTAAATTTATCATTCTACTCATCTCATAAGCAATGTAAGATTATTACAGCTTTTCTTTAGTAACAGTATGACTTTGCTTGCACAGTTCGATAGATTGATTAGTGTTGAATAGTAGGGTGTTTAAGGGTTTGATAATTCATGGATTGATTAAGTGCATTCTCTCAAATTGTCCGTCCATTGTTCTCTTTCTTTGGTGTCAAGCTCTGTTCTCCTTAACTGCTCCGAAGCTGCCTACCATAGGTGCAATCAGTTCAATCAAACATGGCCATCGAAGTGGTCGGAACGACCTCAAACAGCATTTGGAAGAAGAGGGTGAAGTTGCCTGGAAAAGAAAGAAAAATGAGATTAATTTAGGTAGTTTTATACCGAAGTTCGTGATGAACTTGATTGCTCTTCTTTGTCAATGCATCTGTATACTACTATGAACCATGCGTCTCCATGGCATGCTGCTGTTCTGGTGCAGAGGTACTCGCCTACTTATGCCCCGTTCTCAATCTCATTACGCTCGATATCACGTGATATATAGAGCGATTCGTTTTATAGCAGCAACCATGAAGGCACCATATTCGACGCGGTTTCTAAATTGGCGCATTCGATCATTTGAGACTATTTTCCATTAATATTTTTGAAATGTTAACGTTGCAAATATTAGTGCTCTAAGGATGTAGTGTAACAAAACTTTTAAAAATATCTTGTCAAATATGGTGTTGGCACGTCAAATATGGATAAACCGCGTCAAATATGGTGCTGGCACGGTATATCACCACCGACGAACCGATATACCAAAGAAGCATTTCGTTTGTCCACAATTCGAATTGTCAAACGAGCGATTCGAACTTTCAAACGGGCGATCAGATTTGTCAAACGAGGTGACACGCAAACCAAGGCAATATAAATTATACGTGGGTTCGTGTCCTTGCTCATGCTATGACGCGATCGGATGAGTAGATGTCGGTAGTGTTTAACGTACTTTAAATATGGGGTAAGTAGCTTGTATGAGCTGTCACGTCGGTTCGTTGGTGATATCACGTTTTATATTACGTGATATCCCATATAAACGATCTGTAAATCTATATCACGAATAGAACTTGGGTCTAGGGGGAGATCACTTGAGGTGTATTTATTGTAACATCAAAAAATAAATGCATTTAATATAATACATGCATCCATGCATGAAAAGTATTGTCACCGCAAACCGACATGAAACTTAAACTTAACTCTTGATCGAGAATCCATTAGGCCAATAATTACCGAACATCAGCACGGCTTCGTGAGGAAACGCTCTACAACAACCAACTTAATGGTGTTTGTCAACACGCTGATCAACTCCATTGAAAAACGACGACAAGTTGATGCGATCTACGTGGAATTCAGTAAGGTGTTCGATAGGGTTCCACATGTGCTTGCAGTGGACAAAATGAGGTGTATGGGATTACCTTATTGGGCCACGAAGTGGCTACAGTCTTACTTAACTGACCGCTCAGCCTATGTGAGCATTAACGGTGTTAATTCGCCTAGTTTCGAGATACCCTCTGGTGTTCCCCAAGGTAGCCATTTGGGGCCTTTAATTTTCATCTTGTTCGTGAACGATCTGTGTAGTCGACTGTGTTCTTCGAAACTTATGTTCGCCGATAACTCAAAGATCTTTCGTACAATTAAGTCAAGACTTGACTGTTGCGCACTCCAGAAGGATATTGATTCCCTTTTGCGCTAGTGTACATTGAACGGTATGCAGGTTAATGTCGCAAAATGCTGCGCAATATCTTTTAGCCGTTCACGCGAGCCTTTACGACATGACTATAGGATAGGACTCAGTAGTTTGCTCTTCGTTTCTTCAGTTAAGGATTTCAGATTCAGATTTCAGATTCAGATTTCAGATTCAGATTTCAGATTTCAAATTCAATGAGCACATCTCCATGATAACTGCAAAAGCATTCGCCACATTAGGTTTCTTGAAACGAAACACAAACGCATTCCACGACATCTACGCGCTGAAATCACTATACTGTGCTCTCGTCCGCAGTCTTCTAGAGTATGCTGTTGTTGTGTGGGCACCCTTTCACGCTATTCAAGCTAACATAATCGAAGCCATTCAGCGAAACATCGTAAGATACGCTTTACGTGTTCTGCCCTGGAACGATTCGGTAAATTTGCCGCCTTACGAAGAACGGTGCAGGCTGATTGACCTGGACACGTTGGCAGCAAGGAGGAAACTACTTCAGCGACTCTTCGTGTTTGGACTGCTTAACGGTGACGTGGATTGCAACTCTCTTGTGAGCCAAATCTACATCAATGCTCCTCAAAGAGTTCTACGTAGTTACACGCTTCTGTGGCAACCTACCCATCGGACCAACTATGGATTCAACGAACCGTGGACTTTGTGATGCCGTGTGTTTAATGAAACGTTTGATGTATATGATTTTAACATTAGTAAGTCTACTTACAGACATAGAATTCGACACCTAGCCTAGAAAATATCTGTACAACATTATGTTGAAGATTTAATTAAATAAATAAATAACGGCATATTCAAATCTGCAGCGATCCCATCTGTCAAAACCATAGAAATTTTCAATCTAGATAAAAATAATTAGCCCGGAATAGATTAGACACGAACCAACTCATACATTTTGCATGCGTGTTCGTGGCTAGGATACCCATTTTTCGCGGTCACGGCCGCAGATGTCAGTTTTGTGCTTTGATCAGAAATTTGATGATACTTTGTATTGTCATTCATGTCGGTTTGTCGGTGGTTCAGCCATAGAGGTAACTCTAAGATCAGAATGTCCTGAAGAAACGTGCTCAGCTTTTTAGCTCAGCTCTGGTACCAACAATCAATACGAAACTAACGATTTTAAATTGGCTCACCACTTTAGTAGCCTATTGGTCCCAAGCAAACGATTAACGTACCCTATTCTAGTTGAAATTCTATTACTACACTATGTTTGTTTTGATTCGCTATGAAAGTTTGACAGATAACATCAGGGGTGTGTGGATTCATGCAGAACATGCAGGGGTGAGTGAAATAGCTTGGGACTGCTTGGGACCGTTGTTCTGGTACTGAGTGAGCCAAAAATAATAATGATTTTCTTCGGGACCCAGTGGTCTTAGAGTTACCTCTATGCTGGTACTCTCTTCGGTCCCAAACTAATCGATGCATCCCTTGAAGCATATGAAAATCCTCGGGAAAATCTACGAACCCTCATTTTATCTGTCAAACTTTCATAGCGAATCAAAACAAACATAGTGTAGTACACGCTATTTCAAAACCACCCAAATTTTGGTAGAATCCACCCAGATCAGTCAAAACTGAACCTACCCAAAAATGGGTAAAATGAGTTTGAAGTGACAAGTTGACAAATGAAGAACATCGACATGAATCCGATCGACGTTGTTCATTTGTCAACTTGTCACCAGGGTTGCTTCCACTCACTTGCTATAAAAAAATATTTTTCGGAATTATGCAATCATTGCTTGATATAATGATTTGTTGGACTTGTAAGTAACAAGAAGAAGGTGTAAATTATGTGTTTGATTCATAAAACCTGTCAATTTTGCTTTCAGGGCGTCACAATCAGCGATCTTATGATTCGTGAGCGTTCACTCAGAGTGAGCGCTCACGAGTCGTATAATCGCTGGTTGTGACGCACTTAAAGCAATATTGACAGATTTGATGTGTCAAACACATACTTCACGACCCCTTCTTGTAGCTTACAAATTCTAATTATCTTTATTCCATCTCATGATTTCATAATTCCGAAAAACATTTTTTTATAGCGAGTGAGTGGAAGTAACCCAGCTTGTCACTCCCAAAACAGTTTACCCATTTTTGGGTAGGTTCAGTTTTGACCGATCTGAGTGGGTTTTACCCAAATTTGGGTAGTTTTGAAATAGCGTGTACTAAAATTTCGACTAGAATGGGATACGTTAGTCGATTTGCTTGGGACCAATAGGCAAGTCAAGTAGTGAGCCAATTAAAAATCGTTAGTTTCCACCGGCAGCGGCAATCTCGATCTTGAGTCGTAAAGTGAGTTGTTCAACCAAACGTGACTGGAACGAGCTGAAGCGAATGGTTCGCTACTTGAAGGGGATGATTAATCTGAGGCTTCGACTGAGCAGCAGTGGTAATTCTTCTGTTCAGAATGTTGCCACGATCGGAAGTCTAATAGTGAATATGTATTCAAATACTGCGGAGGAACCATTGCATGGGCATATCCAAAGCAAACTTGTGTCGCTCTACCACAGCAGCAGCAGAATTCGTAGCTCTCTCTGAAGCATCTCGAGAAGCGGTTTGGCTGCAGAGACTATTGGAGGACCTGGGTGAGAAAACAGAAGTTATGCTATTCAAGGACAACCAAAGCTGTTTGAAGATTCTGAACTCCGAAAAGTTCAGTAACCGCACGAAACACATTTCCACGAAGTTCCACGATTCAAAGGCCCAGAAGACGAAAGGTGTTATCAAGTATGAGGACTGCCCCATGGAAAAAAAATGATTGCGGATCTTCCGACCAGGGCTCTACATTTTCGAAGCTCTAAAATGAACTCGTATTTTTTTCTCTCATACATACGTGTTCGACGCTTCATTTCTATAACGCCTAGCTAGACTATCAGCAAGAAATGATAGTGAAAAAGAAGCACGCTTAGAAGGAAACGCTGGCCGTGGAACTTCTCGTCGTTGCTTTGCTCATCGCTTTCAATGTAACTAACGTCGATTTTCTAGTTAAACGAACCTTCAATCCCCTTTCACGAACACTCTATCACCGATCTTTCAATTTGTTTAAAATGCGTTATGTCCCGTTTTTGATCATTTTTTTTAGATAAATATATGGATGGAAGATAAATTAAAAATATTACGTGTAATCTTCACGTGGTTTCACGTGAGAAATGCTTTAAATCTGTTATTTCATTTTCCGTCATATACGTCATGAAACCTGTGTTGAAAGTGAGAAAACTATCAAAGTCGAGCGCTCTTTCTCTCATCCGTTTCACCGTTGCTTGAAAGGAAGACCAATTGAGCGACGGGAGAAAGAGAGACAAGCGATTGAACATTTGTTTGTGCACGCCGACTGAGGTTCTAGAATGCTCCGAAGCTGTTCGACTTTAACAGAAAAAGAAAGCCAGCAGTCTCTTCGTCGCATCGATTTGGTCGATTGAAGCTGATATTGTGACGCCCTGCTTCCGACAAAACCGCTAGCACAAATACGGTTGGAAGTACTTTGGAAGCAATGTGGTTTACAGTGACAACGTGCGAGTGTCGAGCATGCAGCATGCCTTGACTTTACAGAACTAATCAATTTCTTTAGTTTTAATTATACTGCCAAC